AGCTTTACTTCTTCCTTACCAATTTGGATGCCTTTTATTTCTTTTTGTTGCTTGACTGCTGTGGCTAGGACTTCTAGTACTATGCTGAATAAAAGTGGTGAGAGTGGACATCCTTGTCTTGCTCCTGAACATAGGGGAAAAGCTCCCACAGAAGATCCCAAAGAGCCAAAACAATCTTGAAAAGGAAAAAAATCTGGAGGTATCAAAATTCCAGATTTCAAGTTATATTACAAAGCTGTAGTAATCAAAACAGTATGGTACTGGCACAAAAAACAGACACATAGTTCAATGGACTAGAATAGAAAACCCAGAAGTAAGCCCATAATTATATGGTCAATTAATCTTCAAGAAGGGAGGAGAGAATATGCAGTGGGGAAAAGAGAGTCTCTTCAACAAAGAAAACTGGACAGCTACATGCAAAAGAATGAAACCGAACTCCCGTCTTACACCATACACAAAACCAACTCAAAGTTGATTAAGGACCTGAATGTGACACACAAAACCAGAAAAATCCTACACGAGAGCAAGAGCAGTCATTTCTCTGACATTGGTTGTAGCAACATCCTTCTAGATAGGTCTCCTGAGGTAAGGGAAACCAAAACAAAAATAAAGTATTGGGACTACTTCAAAATAAAAAGCTTTTGCACAAGGAAGGAAACAATCCACAAAACTACAAGACAACCTACTGAATGGGAGAAGATATTTGCAAATGACATCTCTGATAAAGGGTTAGTATTCAGAATATCTAAAGAACTTATACAACTTAACACCCCCAAGAAACAAAGAATCCAATTAAGAAATGGGCAGAAGACATGAACAGATGATTCTCTGAAGAAGACATCCCGATGGCCAACAGACACATGAAAAGATCCTCAACATCACTGATCATCAGGGAAATGCAAATCATAGCCACAATGAGATCACACAGGTCAGAATGGCTAAAATCAAAAACACAAGAAACAACAAGTGTTGGTGAGGATGTGGAGAGAAAGGAACCCCTGGGGCGCCTGGGTGGCTCAGTCATTAAGCATCTGCCTTCAGCTCAGATCATGATCCCTAGGGTCCTGGAATCGAGTCCCGCCTCCACTTCTGGTTCCTGGCTCATCGGGAAGCCTGCTTCTCCCTCTCCCATTCCCCCTGCTTGTGTTCCCTCTCTCGCTGTCTCTCTCTCTCAAATAAATAAACAAAATCTTTTTTAAGAAAAGAAAAATAAAAGGAACGCTTGTGCACTGTTGGTGGGAATGCAAACTTGGTGCAGCCACTCTGGAAAACAGTACGGAGGTTCCTCACAAAATTAAAAATAGAACTACCCTCTAATATAGTAGTTGTTCTTCTGGATATTTCCCCCCAAAATACAAAAACACTCATTCAAGGGGATCTGTGCACCCCTGTGTTTATGGCAGCATTATTTACAATAGCTACATTATGGAAGCGCCCCAAATACCCATCGAGAGACAAATGGACAAAGAAGAGGTGGTAGATATATACAATGGAATATTACTGAGCCATAAAAAGAATGAAAGTTTGCCACTTGTAACCACATGGGTGGAGCTAGAGAGTGTGATGCTATGTGAGATAAGTCAGAGAAAGACAAATACCACGGGATTTCACTCATATGTGGACGTTAGACAACAAATGAGCAAAAAGAAAGAAAGAAAGAAAGAAAACAAATGAGCAAAGGGGAAAAGAGAGAGAGACAAAGCAAGAAACAGACTCTTAACTACGGAGAACAAACTGATGGTTACCAATGGGGCAGTGGGTGGGGGGCTGGGTGGACTAGGTGATGGGGACTAAAGCGTACGCTTATCATGATGCGCACGGAGTCATGTATTGACTTGTTGAATCACTATACTGCATGCCTGAAACTCACATAACACCGTATGTTAACTCTACTGGAATGAAAATAAAACTTCATAAAAAATAAAAGTAACCATTTGAGTTACAAAAAGCATGTTTTTCTAAACATTGAAGAACATTTTATTTTTTATGTCTTTAAAGATTTTATTTATTTATTAGAGAGAGACAGTTGAGAGAGGGAATACAAGCAGGAGGAGTGGGAAAGGGAGAAGCAGACTCCCCACTGAGCAGGGAGCCTGACGTGGGACCTGATCCCAGGACCCTGAAATCATGATCCCAGCTGAAGGCAGACGCTTAACCCACTGAGCCACCCGGGAGCCCTAAAACAATATATTTTTTAAAGATTTTATTTATTTATTTGACAGACAGAGATCACAAGTAGGCAGAGAGGCAGGCAGAGAGAGAGGAGGAAGCAGGCTCCCCGCCAGGCAGAGACCCTGATGTGGGGCGAGATCCCAGATCCCTGGGATCATGACCTGAGCCGAAGGCAGAGGCTTAACCCACTGAGCCACCCAGGCGTCCCTAAAACAATATTTTTAATACTGTATTTGAATAGTTTGATCACTACATTTTCCTTCTGAAACTTGTGCGAAGATGCTGCTACCATGTTTATCTAAATGACCTCCTTTGTCAGGTTAGGAGGGCAGTCGTTAGTTATCCCTCTTTTGCAGATGAGGAAACTGAGGCCAGGAGGTTTGAAGTTACTTGCCTCCCAGTGAGCAAGGGGCAGAGCCCCAAGCAGCCTCCCAACCATAAACTGGCGCCGTGGTCTATCCAGCTACCGCAGGTAAAGAAATAGCCCAAGAGGAGCCACAGAAATTACCCCCTAGAAAACCAAAGCAGCTCAGCACCTGTCCGGATTCCTAAAGCAGTTGGACATATGTTTTCACTTTGGACATTACCAATCATGCTCATAGGTTCTTTAGCGAAGGGGAAATCACTGGGCCGTAAGCAGCTGTATTCACTAGTCATACTGTGGGCCACCAGCCTTCGGGCTGAAAGCTGCCACAGTGGGGCCCCAGAGCCATGGCACTTGGGGTGGGGCACACAGCTAGCTGTCCTCTCGCCTTCCCTCCCTCACTGCTCATCCTCTCCTTCCCTAAGGGGAAGTGCGGAATGTTCTGGAAGGCAGGAGTCCCCGCTCAGAACGTGGGGAGCGAGGGTACTTTTGGCCATACTTCAAGGAGGAGGAGGTATTCATTGGCTTGCAGTGTTTCCTGGGCCCCAAATCAGGTGCCCTCCCCTGGTTGGCCCTTTTGAAGTCATCTCTTCTAAAGGGCACATCCTAAGGGGTCTCAGTCTGGATTTGCACATGTGCAGCTCTGGCGGTGGAGGGCTGGGGGGCGGGGAAGGAGCAACAAGGTGCTCTTTGTGAAGAGCAAGTTCAGTTTGTGCAAAGTGGAAAGACTGCAAAACAGTTCCGGGAGAGGACTCTCTCCCCTCTCCCGGGACTAGTTTTAATCCTAGCCCACTGAACCCCCATGACTTGACTTCTGCTAGCCCCTTCTGGGCTTAGCATGAGTTTCTGACGTGCCCAGGCTATAGAGCGCCCCGCAAAGCTCTCACCCACCATGAGTGAGTCCTGGGGAGTTATCTCCCCCCGCCATGACTAGTAGATATGATGGAGATAACACAGTCACAGTCCGATGGGAAATAAATTCCACACATGCGCCCACTTACATTTGAAAGGCTCCAACTGCTGGAGGCCAGACTGTTTAACCTATCTGTAAGGAAGGGATTTTTGGAATTTTCTGTGAGCCTTCCAAGCCTCCTGCATCTCATCCCTCTCGCTGGGTAAAAGAATGGAAAAAGGAGATGCTCATTTGGGATAGAATAGCGTGGGAAAATCAGCACATGAGCGCGGCTTCTGTGATATTTAATCTAAGAGTAAGAGTTTTGATAATTTTAAGTTTGTAGGAGGAAACAATGTCCTTGCTCTAAATATATCACATACCTCAGGATCCTGGAGAAGGTTCTGGTTTGCATGTTGTAGCAGCTGATGGACGGACACTCGGAAGGACTACAGAGGGAATTTGGGCACAGGGTGAGAAACTGGGCTAGAGAAGTCACTCCTTTGAGCCCGTGATTCTATGGAAGCTGGAGGTGCCAATTCATTTTGATAAGGGAAGTGTTTTTTTTTTTTCAGACTTTATTTATTTGTCAGAGAGAGCGAGCACAGGCAGAGTGGCAGGCAGAGGCAGAGGGAGAAGCAGGCTCCCCGCTGAGCAAGGAGCCCGGTGTGGGACTGGATCCCAGGACGCCGGGATCATGACCGCCGAAGGCAGCCGCCCAACCAACGGAGCCACCCAGGTGTCCCGGGAACTGTAGTTTGTAAAGTACAGGATTATAGAGATGGGAGAACAAATTAACGGTTGCCAGAGGTTAGGGATGGTGGCGGGGGTGAGGGGCAGAGTGGGTGTGACTACAGAGGGATACACCAGGGAGATCTTTGCGGTGACAGAATAGTTTTTTTTTTTTTTTTTTTACCTTGATTGTGGTGGTGGTCACACAAATCTATACATGTAATTAAAAATATGACTGTACACACGCATTGTACCCATGTCAGTTTTCTGGGCTTTCTATGGTACTACAATTACGTGTGATGTAATCAGTGCGGGAGATTAGGTGCAGGGCAACTTCCTGTGAATCTCTCCTTTTTTTTCCCTGTGAATCTATCCTTATTTCAAAGTAAAAAGTCTAAAAAATCCAGGCACAGTCCTGCATTTCTTTTATTTTTTATTTTTTAATTTATTTTTAGTTTTTAAAAGATTTTATTTATTTATTTATTTATTTTACAGAGAGAGAGAGAGAGAGAGAGAGAGACAGCGAGAGCAGGAATACAAGCAGGGGGAGTGGGAGAGGGAAAGCAGCCTTCCCGCCAAGCAGGGAGCCCAATGTGGGGCTCAATCCCATGACCCGGGGATCATGACCTGAGCCGAAGGCAGATGCTTAACGACTGAGCCACCCAGGTGCCCCTAAATTTTTTTTAAAAAATTTATTTGTCAGAGAGAGAGAGAACAAGTAGGGAGAGCAGCAGGCAGAGAGAGAAGCAGGCTCCCCATGAGCAGGGAGCCCAATGTGGGCCTCGATCCCAGGACCCCAGGATTGTGACCTGAGCTGAAGGCAGACGCTTAACCGCTTAACCCACTGAGCCACCCAGGTGTCCCTCAGACATTTCTTTTAAGTAACCACAAAGCTTTTAATTTATCCCATTTTTCTTTTTCAGAGAACCCTCCCCACATGTTCCCACCCCCAAACACCGTAACTATTGAGAATTAGAACTACAGACTTAAGGAGAAACTTTTCCTTTTCATCACTGGCGGAAAACAACGTCAGAGAATGAAGGTGCCCTCTTTTTTATTTTATAGATCTGATGTGTCTGATGGAGGCTCTTTGGTTGGCAAAGCCTTGAGCAGACTGGGAAGATTCTATATCTGACTAGGCCAATTCTTCTCCCTGCCATGGGAAAAAAAAAGCAGAAACACGTTAAATTCCTTTCATGCCTTCTACGCGTGAACAGAAGCATAAGGGTAGGAAAGGAGGGAGAGGGCAGGGCAGGGCAGCTGGGGGTCTTGTGGTTCTCCAATGAGAGGCTCTTCCCAGCTCAAAGGGAGCTGTGCTTCTGGGTTGAGAAACTGCCCCACGAGGTCAGGCACCGGGAAGAGAAATAGTTCAGCCAGCCTCAGAGAGGGGCAGTTTGAGTTGAAGGGGGAAACGTGACCCAGCTTCTCCTCCCCACCTTCCCAAGTATACCAGAGGAGGAGATGGACCAAGCCTGGGCCCTTCAGTGGGAAAAAGGTGGTTGTAATGGGCAGGTTCTACAGAAATGTGGCATGGGAGTGCCTGCTGCATGCTCTCAGCTTCCTGACATACGCTGGCTCCCAGAGGCCCCATCTTGGCCTTCTTAGATTCCATGCATCTCCCTGAAACTTTGCCCAAGCAACCAAATGCTTGACTGTATGCTGTCTCATCTTATTCTCTTACGTTGGGTCCCGGGCCTGTTGGGTTCAAACACTAGTTCTACCACTTACTAGCTATGTGATCTTGGGCAAGCTGTCTTAACCTCTCGGCTCCTCGGTTTGCTCATCTGTTGAATAGGGGGACTACCCGCCTTATAGGGTTTGTCCAGGGTCTGGCACCTACTAGGTGCTTAGCAAGGGTCAACTTCTCTTTGTTCACTGTTTCCCATGGGGATGCCACATCGTTCACCAGACTGGAGGCTCCTGGAGAGAGCTTCCTTCTCTTCCCCACCCCCCGCCCCCCACCCAGCATATGGTTGGGTGCACAGCACACTGTTAATGAGTCCTTATTGGCTAGGCTGAATGGACCTTTCTTGGCTACCTCAGTGATGCTGATGGAGACCCAGAAATGAATTATCAGTATTCTGTTTCAAAGATATGAAGGTAATATCCTGAATTCTTTACTTCCTTGATACATTGTTACAGTATAACAGTCTATGTGCTAAGGCCTGCCTTTAGTGCGAATATAATTTTATAATTTATATTTTAAAATATAAAAAAATTTACGATTTTTAGACAATTATGTAGCTCAAGTAAAATTAAAGCCAATGCCTAAGTATCTTGACAAAATGGCATCTTGATCGGTTTATCAGGAGGGGAGCAGGAAAAGAAATCAACTAGACTGACATACTCATTACCACAGAATTCAGAAGGTTCTTAAAGATAGCAAAAGAATCTGAAATTGACACAGTCACTTCTTTTTTATTTATTTTTTAAATTTAATCTAATTTCTTTTCAGTGTAACAGAATTCATTGTTTATGCACCTAAACTCCATTGTCTCAGGACAACACCTTGTTCTGCAGTCATTTGTGAGGGATCACGGAAAGAGGAATGGATCCAAACATGAACACCAGGGGCACCATCTCAGATTAAGTCATTCATTCACTCATTCAGGCAGTAAATTCAGAATTTACGGAGTGCCTGCCATGGGGCTAGGCTCTACGCTTCACAGACACGATCCTGCCCTGTGTGAAATTTACTGTCAGTCACTTCATTTCTCTGGGTCTCATGTTCCCCATCTGTCAAATAGTAACAAATCCATTTCTATCGCAATTATAAGAATTCCAGAAAGAAGTGCAGGGGCCAGAGCCTTGCAGACTGTTATTGTTCTCTGCTGCTGTCCTCTATGTAATGGCCACGAGAATAGCTTGCAATTATTTGAAAATTATGTCCAAACTCTATTTCAAGGGGGCTGAGTATGTTCTGCCTATCTCATTTTCCTTCCTTACATGTTGCCAAGCCAACCAAGCCCAGAGTGAGCAGGAGGGACAGAGAGATCTATGATACTGGGCTGAAGCATTATAGTGAATAGCACTCCACTTCCTGTTCTCTAATGGGTTGGATTTCACACATGGTTCTTGTGATGGGTTCAGGTCCCCTCACCACCCACCCCCCAGTCGCCCGCAAGATATGTTGAAGCTCTAACCCTAGGTACCTGTGAATGTGACCTTATGGAAACAGGGTCTTTGCAGATGTGATCAAGTTAAGAGAGGTCATTAGGGTGGGCCCCGATCCAATATGACTGATGTCCTTAGAAGAGAGGAATCTGAACAGACGCAGACACAGAGAGAATGCCATGTGAAGACACACACAGACACAGAGGGAAGATGGCTAGAGAAAGATGGAGGCAGAGATTACATACAGCCGTGCAGCAACCAGCCAGGAAACCCCGGGGGGCTACCAGAAGCTGGAAGAGGCAAGGAAGGATCCTGCCCTAGAGGCTTCAGAGGGAGCATGGCCCTGCCAGACCTTGATTTCAAACTCTAGCTTCTGGAACTGAGTGAACGAATTTCTAATGTGTTAAGCCACCCCATTTGTGGTAATTGTTACGGAAGCCCTAGGAAACAAACACAGTCCCCAAAGAGAAACAGCTCCACCATGGACTTCCCTAGGCCCTCCATGCAGTCATGGTGACTCTCCTTTTCTGTACAAGAACCCACGTGAAAATGATGCCTTGATCCCAGTGCCTAAAAATGTGGATCTCCAGAATGGCAGATCCAATGGTTTTCAAATAAGTCAGAATGGGAAGCAAGAATGCCCCCGACCTTTAGCTTCTCTGCTCCTAAGTTGGATGGAGAATAGTTAAGAGTAGGCAGGCATGGGTCCTATAGGCATGGGGCTGACTAAGCAGGCCGCTGCTGCAGGCCCTCAGCATGGAGATCACCTTGGGAAGGCCACGGAGTCCATTCTGGGTCCTGATAAAGGCCAGTGGGCTTAGAGGAGAACTGACCTCATTTAAGGTTTCTGAGCACTGCAAGCCTGTCTTACCTAGACTTCACTCTTGCAGCCAACCAGAGGCTGCTGTCCTAGCAAAGGAGGCATCCCTTCCGTAGGACAAATGAGCAACTCATTTAATCAATGCATAGGTGTTATTTTGAAAATTACTATCTGGCAACCACGATAGTGAGCACAAATTCAGGCAAGAGTCATTATGGATCCTAAAACTGGAGAGTGAAAGTTTTGTGAGAAACATGTTATTTATGTAGTCTCGAAGTATCTCCTCAGACATTAGTTATTAAGTACAAAAAGAAAAGTCACTTTTTTTTAGAGAGGGAGGGGGTGGAGGAGCAGAGGGAGAGGGAGAGAATCAAGCAGATTCCACACCCAGCATGGAGCCCAATGCAGGGCTTGATCATGACCCTGAGATCATGACCTGAGCCAAAATCAAGAGTTGGACTCTTAACTGACTGAGCCACCCAGGCGCCCCATGAAAAATCATACCTTTACGGCGGAAAAACATGGCGGGCATTTAACCAATTAATCCAAGTTAACATCACCAACAATCATAGAAGCCTTTTTATGTTTTGCTCATGCCAGAAATGTGCAACCTCTCATCATGAGGACACATCAGGCAAACCAACTGGGGGGCATTCTACAAAGCAACTGGCCTGTATTCTTCCAAAAGCTTGATGTCATGAAAGACAAAGAAAGGCCAGGGGCTGTTCTAGATTGAAGGACACTTGAGAGAATCAAGAGACATGACAACCAAATACAATGTGTGATCCTCGACTGCATCACGGACCAGAAGAGAAATAGCTAGGAAGGACATTCTCAGGAAAATTAGCACAACTGGAATATGGCCTGTGTGGTGTATCCACGTTATATTTCTTGAATTTGCCAACCTATACATGTTTGTCTAACAGAATGTCTCGTTCTTAGGAAATACATATTGAAGTATTGGGGGCAAAGGAATATGATTCTGCAACTCAGTCTAAAGCGCTTCACACGAAAATACGTGTGTGTGTGTGCATGCGCGCATGTGCGCACGCGTGTGTGTCTGTAGGGAGAATGGTCATTATAACAGGATGCTAACAACCGATGAGTCTTGATGAAGGCCATGTGAAGGTTCTTGTTAGTACCTTTGCATACAATTTTCTGTATGTTAAAAGTCTTAAAATTATAAAAATGACATATTTTGAACATTTAACCACGTGCCTGATGCTGTGCTGAGTGTGAGGTATTCAAGGGAGCGTGAGACACAGTCTTGATCCTTAACCCACGAGCTCATCGTCTGGAAGGGAAGCACATTCTGGTGTGCTAAAGGAAGCTCGAGAGCGCAGGGAGGGCATACTAACCCCAGGCTGCCTGGGGAATGGGGCCAGAGTGGGCTGTGTCCAGAGGGGTAAAGGGGAGGCTTCAAGTGGGGGGAACTAATTCAGTCTGGGGTGCTGGTGGGCGATGCATGCAGGGTTGAATGACAGACTGTGGGACACAGGGAAGATGCCCAGGCCTGCAGGCAGCAAGGAGAAGCCACCTGCCCCCTGAGGACAGACAACAGGGCATGGGTTGGCAGGTGTTGGGGACCAGGCCAAAGTCACCATAGCTCCTGAGGTAACAGAAGGAATGCCGACATAAGCAAAACAACTTCAGGCTGAAAGGTTGAACACAAGTGTGCTTACCGATGGCATAGGGTGAACTTGGCGGGGCCATATACTGAATGTTCCGGAGACATCAGCCCCCAGATTGATAACTATACGTAACCGGGATAAGAGCATGGCCCCAAATTAGTTAGGAGGCCTAATAATAGACCACGAGGCAGGAAGAGAATGTCGAGTGATCATAAGAAGCCAAAGAAGTGATTTTTTGAGAACACGATGAGCTTCCCCAGCAATAAGGATAAGGTGGTACCCAATTAACATGCAACCGGATGGGGAGAGGTTGTTGTTAACAGGAAAACACCCGAGGACAGTACAGGGTCCTAGACTAAAGGGAACGAGGGAGGCAGCACTGCTCTTTCAGAAGGTGATGGGGAATGGGAATTTCCACTCAATTACAAGACACAAGGGCTGGGATGAGAAAGAACGCGGATATTCCTAGCAAGAGCCTGGTGGGAGCTCATTTGTTTTCCTTTCTTTGGAAAAACCTTTATATTATGGAAAATTTACAAAAATAATGAGAACACTATTAGCTTAAACTGCATGAAAGGGCTGCGATGT